AAACAAATACTAAAAAGATAACTGCTATCATATGGATAGGGGAAATACTTTTGTCCCTATATTTAGAAAACTTGAATAACCCTGCTGTCAGGCAGTGGAAGTAACAGAAAGGTTTTAAGCAAGGAGTTCCTAGGATTCAAGGTCTTGAACATTTGTTCCCCACCGAGCCCTCAAGCCCCTGGATCTGCTGGAAATCAACCATCTGAAGGCCCAAAGAGGAGCCTAGCCCGGCTAGAAGCTCCAATGCAGAGATATTCTCACAAAGAGCGCTACGTAAGTACAAATGACTGTTTGATCAATCATTTGGCCTCAGCGTGGGATTTGGTTAGAATTAAAGCCATCTGGCTGAGGGGGGAGAGCTGGGGGTGATGGGGGAGGAGACAAGCAGGCGGGAAAATGACCCACTCCCTCCCTCAAAAAGCATTGTTAAAATATAACGGGGGAAAACAGTAAAGTCTCTGCTGTTATTTCAGCCTAAGCCACTTAATCCTTCAGCACATAAAGCAACTTATTTTACGACCTTTTCCCTTTAAAAAGTAAATCAGAAGATGCTGCCTTGAATTCAGATATCTCTGAAACACACTACTCATCCCTCCCAGAGAAATATCTTGTTTCATAAACCTTCTTCGAGATACTTGAAACTGCAGATCACTAAATGCCTAGCTTTAGGCATCTGACATTCCAGAGAATTAATATTTAAACTTATTATAGGAAAAAAGAATTGCGTTTGGTTGAAGCATGAAATATTTAATAGTGTTCTCCACATTAGAAACCCTATTTTGTTTCACACTGGAAATGCCAGCGTTATTACCTGGGCTTTGCACTCAAATAAGATGAAACGCACAGGCGGCCTTGAGATTAAATACACAATTATTACAGCCGATTTCTCAGGGGGAGAAGGGGAGTGAGACAGGTTTGGGGAGTGGAAGCGATTGAGTTTCATTTTTACGATACACTTAAAATTATATTATCATTCTCTGCCTGGAGGGTTGGACTTGAGAGCGCTAACGCTACTTAACCACTGGAAACTGTGTCAAGATCGGTGAATCCACCGAGGCCTGTTCACAGTACGTGAAGCCGTCTGTGTCTTGGAACGGCCCGCTGCCAGGCAGAACCCCGTAACGTTCTCTACTTGCTGGGACAAAAGTATTAAGTGGTTTGGGATAAAAATTAAGCTTCATTTGACACAGTGGAACCTGGCTGGCAGCCTCTGC